TCTGCCTGCCGATGCAGGGGACGCGGGTTCATGCCCCGGTCCGGGAGGATCCCACGTGCCGCGGAGCGGCTGGGCCCGTGAGCCATGGCAGCTGAGCCTGCGCGTCCGGAGCCTGTGCTCCACAACGGGAGAGGCCACAACAGTGAGAGGCCCGCGTACCGCAAAAAAAAAAAAAAAAAAGTTATCGGCCAGAAATAGCTTCCCAAGAGAACAGATGGAGAGTCTGCAATTTATGTGACTTAAAACCATGAAAAAGTGCTATCTACTTAGGAGGAGCAAACCTGGTTAGGGATCTCATTTAGATAGTCCCAGTTTCTCTGGTCCGATGGCTCTACAGCAAAGTCATTTTTTTGTCCTCTAACTATATAAGATTTCCAGAACCTTCTGGGCATCAGGCTGCTTATAGAGTAAAAAGATAAAACACCTGCTACTATCAGCAAAAACTGTAATCACTTCTTTAAAGTAATTACATTTTACATCTCTATACAAATCCACTAACCTGTTGAGTTTAAGTTTTTAGATATTTTAAAAACTGCCATCTGAGGAGTAACCATTTGTCATGGGCTGGTAGGAGTCATTATCACATCTCGGATTCACTGTGAACATTAGGTAGCTCTGGTCAATAATGGGGGATATGTTTTATCTTCTGTCCCATTCTAACAAAATTGGATGGTGTGCCCCTTCCAGGGCGATTTGCACATCACAGTCGGGGTGTTAAGGGATAGATATCATGCCTCCCTACAGCAGCCGTTTACACTGCCCTAGTGCAACTCTGCTATCATCTATGCATAGAGCTCAGAGTGGATGCCACTCTGAGCCTCTGGCATCTGGCCTAATTCAAAAGCCTGTTTTCTTCCACAGTATTATATCTCTGACTGACAGCCTCTTATCACACCCAAATATACCTACATGAGGTGCACTTGTGAGGCAAAAACACACCTAAACCAAGTTGGAGATTAATGTATCACATATAAAGCACTGACTACTAGTATGTAATCCAGAGGTTGGTTTTAACAAAGATTTTTTTTTTTTTTTTAATTTGGCCGTGCAGCGTGGCGTGTGGGATCTTAGTTCCCTGACCAGGGATCAAACCTGGGCCCTGGCAGTGAAAGTGCCAAGTCCTAACCACTGGACCACCAGGGAATTCACATTGACAAAATATTATTAATAATATCAGTATCTGTACTTTTCTTTCAGACATAAATTTATTTATTTATGTTTCATTACTATTCAAAAGTAGTTCTACCCTCTCCAATCGATGCTCAATAAGTTATTTCAGCAAGAAAAAAAAGGTAGGAAAGGCAGTCTATGGAACCCTTCAACTCGCGGTGATCTACAGATCAGAGGTTTGAGAGCCCATGATTAAAAATACAATGTGCCAGGGGCTTCCCTGGTGGAGCAGTGGTTGAGAGTCCGCCTGCTGATGCAGGGGACACGGGTTCGTGCCCCGGTCCAGGAAGATCCCACATGCTGCAGAGCGGCTGGGCCCGTGAGCCATGGCCGCTGAGCCTGCGCGTCCAGAGCCTGTGCTCCGCAACGGGAGAGGCCACAACAGTGAGAGGCCCGCGTACTGCAAAAAAAAAAATACAATGTGCCACCCCTGCCCCCCGCAACCCAGTCTCAAATGGAAATGATCTATCAAATCAAAATAAATAAATAAGATACAATAAAAGGTACTACAACTTGAAGGTTTTTTTTAAGTCCTGAGCTAATATTACACAGTTGGAATTCTACGAGTTTAAACGTTAACTCTCTCCTTGGAGTAAATACTTGAATGTTTCAAACCAAAGTTATAATAAAGTGAAGGAATGCTCAAGATTCCAAGCTGCTGAGAGGCACAGGCAGTGGGGCTGGTCACCAGCCTGACCGATGGCTCAGTCCTTGCCTCCAAGGAGGTGATTATCTCTGCTGACTGGATACTCTCCCCCTTAAAGGGCCCCAGAGACATGTCCTATAAGTTCTTCCTAAGCTTTATTTTGTTTTATACATAACTCAGGAAATCCTTCCTTGGGTCTTTGCCTATTTCATTTTCCTGTGGACCCAGAATAAATGCTGACTGTGGGTGTACTCCTCATGAAAATCAATTACATAATTAAAAGGATATCAAGTCAGGTCCAGATTTTTCTTTCTTAGCTTTGTTGATTCTGATTCTTTTAAGCTTTAATGTAGAACTTGTTTTTTATTCATCTGATTACTTGTCATTTTTTCCCCAGGACTTTATCTCATTCCCTACATTTCTTAACACATCTGGTGACAAAAACTGAATGAAATGACTGCCACTACTAAGATATTAATGATTACAATTACAAAAAATTTTTTAAGTCCAAACCAACTTTTCAGTTCTCAACTTAATCATCACAATTCACTTACTTGATAAGGTTCTGGAAAGCATAACCGTCTGTCCACTGTTCAGTGAACGAGGCCCCATGTCGGACAGTGGTAAAGTGGCCCAATCTCAAGCGATCTTGCATGCTTTTATCTCTACATGCCATCTTCTCTTGTTTTGACTTAGGGGAAAACGACAAATAGAAAATAATTTTATTTTCCTATGAGAACTCATATACAGCATTATGTTTATTTTCTGTACTATACTGCTCAAAGTTTAGGACAACTGGCTAAATCTACATTGACTTTAGGAAGTACCCTAAAGCTATAAATGTTCTATATAACCCATAAATGTTCCACGTTAACATATACCTTGTTATTTCTCTTATAAATGTGTAAAAAAGTTATTTCCTTTCTATAAAATTAATGGATTAAGAGATGAAGCAAAGTTCTCCACAGTATCTTTGACATCAATAAAATAATTCACTTCACTTTTATCAGTGTTCCCTGTCTTTTTAACAGCATTTCAAAGACTTCAGCAAAAATAACCGCTAGTCTGGGACTTCCCTGGCGGTCCAGTGGTTAAGCCTCCAGGCTCCCAAAGCAGGGGGGCCGGGTTTGATCCCTTGTCGGGGAACTAAGATCCCAAATGCCGCAACTAAGATCCCATATACCACAACAAGCCGCAACAACGAAGACCCAGCACAGCCAAAATAAATAAATAAATAAATTTTTTAAAAAAGAAAAAAAAAAACCACTTGTCTGTCTCAAACCTCTAGCTTGTAATAATTTCATTAGGAAGTAGTGTCATCTTAAAACTTTCACTATAAGATAAATAAGTACTGGAGATGGAATATTTTAAAAGTTTTCAATAAATAGTTACTTATATCTATTAAAAGCGAGTTGCAACTAATCAGTTACTATAATAAAGGAGACATCAGCCAATTAAAGTAATCATATACAAGTAAATGCCAACTTAGTTTTTTAAAGCACAAAGCACTGAATTATCACGTTATTATATACATAAGTTACTCCAAATACCATATCTGAAATAGACATAAAACTATTGCTAAATGTCTTTAATAGTAACAGGACACACGCTTTAATTAATAGGACGAATGTAAGAATTTTGGAGAGCAATACCCTGCATAAACTCAACTAGGACAAGCTGCCCCTGTCCAACCAACACCATACTCAAAGCAAAGCACAAGGAGAAAAAATATCCCAAATTATCATTCTGGATACTTGGTTCAGTGTCCACACACGAAAGAATTCTAACTGTCAAATCATGAGAAGTCTTTCCTAAGAAGCCCTATTCTGAAATACTTTCATTTCAGGTAAAAGGTATGGAAGCCACAATAATGAAACACACTAAGCATCTTGGGGTACAGAGTTCAGGCCACCACTAATCACTTACCTTTTCTATAAGGAGTTTCTTGCTCATCGTCACACATCGATTTAATCGTTCTTTGTATTTCTCTAGCATCTTTTGCTGTTCATCAATCTGCCGTCTCAAATCACAGTTGGCCTTCAATGGAAAAAAATTTTTTTTAATTAGCTCCAAGGAAGATAAGATTAATACAAAAGCAGTTTCTAGGGAGTCTGAAAATCATTGGTTGTTAAATTATAAGCAAAATTAAGGTTCAAAGAGGTAAGAGTAATTATGTCTTTTTAAAAAAGAAGGTAAGTACTTCATTCCTTGATTCTCTTTAAATAAACTTATCATTTATTAAAGATGAATTCTGTTACTAGAAGTGGGCATGTTTTTCTACTGATCATATTTTATTCCTCCCCAAAGCCAGTTACAGATAAATCTAGTACATCACACATACTTAAATTGTCACAAAATAAAAGAAAAAACCTACAATGAATGAGATGTTTAAAATTCATATAAAGAGCAGTTTTTAGCACTTACAGATTAAATACTTCCAAAGGGTGATTAAGCACTACCAAAAAATTACAGATTTTTTTTTTTAAAAACTACATAATGTTCTTTATGTTCAATTGTTCTTTGTTTTTCTGTTCTTGTTTCCAAAGAAGAAGAGACATGGATTTATATAAATGTTCCTTACCAGAGAAGCCAGGCACACCCATGCCCGCCTAAGACGGAACTAACAAAGAAGTTGAATACAGCATCTTGGTTCAAGAACACCAGAATGTAAATACACAGTTACTTTAGCTGTGGTCAGAAGGGCTAAATACTTTGAAAAATTCAAGCCTCCTACAATAACAGAGAAGGGAAGAACCACTAACCCAAGGTCAACTTTGACTTGCAACTCCTGAATTTATTCTTGTGTTAAACAAAAGATATCTACTCTTTTGGCAAATAAATGATACTTTATAATAACTTGCTTGAATTATGAAAAAAATACAGCATTTCCCAATCAAATGATATAAGTGTTTCTGAAACAGTAGAAAGCATAAATGGAAGATACTATAGCACACTCAATTTTTGAGACTTTTCAGCTTCATTTTAAAGTGACCACTGTACAACAGCTTCCATCTCCAAATTTCTACTCTCCTCATAAACATAATTTCTTCTCATTAGTTCTTCTAACAGAGCCCTAGAGTTCTATGGACCACGTTACCAAAGGCTAAGTACAAGTACATTTGGGTAAATGTGACTAATTCATACTTAAAAATCTACAAGGCAAAGATCATGTAATGTTGGGACTTCCCTGGTGATCCAGTGGTTGGGACTCTGCACTCCCAATGCGGGGGCGCCCAGGTTCGATCCCTGGTCAGGGAACTAGATCCCGCATGCATGCCGCAACTAAGAGCCCACATGCTGCAACTAAGAGCCCGCATGCCACAACAAAGATCCCACATACAGTGTGCCACAGCTAAGACCCGGCACAGCCAGATAAATAAATAAATAAATAAACATTAAAACAACAACAACAACAACAAAGATCATGTAATGTTTATATGAAATTCAATCTATTTTTGGAAGGTGAGCATTGAGAAGGTGAGTAAAGAGAACATACCACTCCCTGAAAAATTAAACCAGACATTGTTTTAAACCCCCCCCAAAAAAGAGTCCTAAGTTAGGATCAGTTTTTCACTTCATCTTCTCAATCTTAAGAAAGTCAGGTAATGAAGGAAGAAGACAAGCCCATGATCCTTTTTTAGTCCAGCAGAGCTACCCTGGACAAAAACCTGCCAATACTGCAACTAGGTTAGGAACTTTTTAAACCCACATATCTAATTATAAATCTTGGTAATTCAACGAGCACCCAAGTGTACAAAAACAGGAATAAGAGCAACCCCAAGCAAGTATGGATGCTAACAATGAAAGATGGAAAATAGATACTGAGTCCAAACATGGCTCTCCTCATTGAAAGACAGAGAAAAGCATACAAACAAACAAACAAAAAGGCCTAATGAAAAATATTTCTGAATAGGAAAGAGAACATCAGCTTGAGAACAATAAAAACACTGGAGAAGATTAAAATGTTAGCCAATTTTATTTATAAATTGGTAGTATTTATGTGTAGATGCATTTATATATGCTACAGGGACTTCCCTGGCAGTCTGGTGATCAAGAATCCGTGCTTCCACTGCAGGGGGCACAGGTTCGATCCCCGGTCAGGGAACTAAGATCCCACATGATGCATGGCGCAGCCAAAAAATAAAAATTAAAAAATTAAAAAATTTATATATATGCAACAAATAGCTCAAAAAATTACTGAAGTAAATGTACCAAATGTTTTATCTCAGTAATGGAATTATGGGTGTCATATTCTTTTTTTTTTTTTTTACTATTCTCTAAATTTATTATAAAGAGCATGTATTGCTTTTACAATAAGAAAATAAACCTTAAAAAAATTCTGTAAAGAATGGGTCAGTCAATATGCCAAACTGTATATTAAAAAATTATTTCAAGGGGTTCCCCGTTGGTGCAATGGTTGAGAATCTGCCTGCCAATGCAGGGGACATGGGTTAGAGCCCTGGTCCAGGAAGATCCCACATGCCGCAGAGCAACTAAGCCCGTGCGCCACAACTACTGAGCCTGTGCTCTAGAGCCCGTCAGTCACAACTACTGAGCCCGCGTGCCACAACTACTGAAGCCCATGCACCTAGAACCCGTGCTCTGCGAGAGAAGCCACTGCAATGAGAAGCCCGCGCACTGCAGAGTAGCCCCCGCTCACTGCAACTAGAGAAAGCCCATGCGCAGCAACAAAGACCCAACACAGCCAAAAATAAATAAATAAAATAAATAAATTTATATACATAAAAAAAATTATTTCAAAAGATATCATGGTATTACTGTATAGCACAGGGAACTCTACTCAATATTCTGTGATAACCTATATGAGAAAAGAATCTAAAAGAGAATGAATATACGTATATGTATAACTCAATTACACCTAAAACTAACACAACACTGTAAATCAACTATACTCCAATAAAATTAAAATTTAAAAAAACCACTGTATATTTTCTAGAGGTATATTTTTAATTCCATATTAGTTATTTTTAAAGTTTCTCTTGTAAGCACAAAAAGCTTTACATGAATAGGTTATAAAAGATACAAAATACAAAACCAGGGCTGAAAAGTACTTGTGAAATAGTTTTTAAAATTCAAGGACATTAGGGCTTCCCTGGTGGCGCAGTGGTTGAGAGTCCGCCTGCCGATGCAGGGGACACGGGTTCATGCCCCGGTCCGGGAAGATCCCACATGCCGCGGAGCAGCTAGGCCCATGAGCCATGGCCGCTTAGCCTGCGTGTCCAGAGCCTGTGCTCCACAACGGGAGAGGCCACAACAGTGACAGGCCCGCGTACCCGCCCCAAAAAAAATAATAAAAAATAAAATAAAATTCAAGAACATTAAAAAAAACAATTTTCCTGAAATGGGAAAACATTTTATACCTATTCTCACAGTTCCAAATGAAATACAATAATACTCCACACATATATTCCTCTAGTATATATTTAAATATTAAAATTCTATAATTGAGATGTCCAATTTAAAGACAGAGTTTAGAATATAGGTTTGATCCTCGTTCCCTACTCAGATTCCCTCAGATTAAAGGAAAATATCCAAATGTTTACTTTTTAACTTTATTATTTGGCTATGGTAATTATATCTATGATATGTACATAATTCAAATATATATAAAATCAATTAGTGCTGTTATATAATCTCTTACGACATTTTAATACTTACTCTTAACAAATCATCTATTCTTCCTTCCTTCTTCTCTAAGTCAGAATTCTTACTGTTTTCTAGTGCAGATATTTTTTCTATTGTGAGGTCAGACTATAAAGAGAAAACAAATTTAGGATTAGTCTCAAAATACTACATGTCATCACATTTTTCTCATTACTTTTCTGAACAAAAAGCACTTGACAACACAACTAGCCTGGAATCGCATGGCTCAAGAATATAAATCTGCTTTCCTCATCCCATTCTTTAAGCATTATGTCTGCTACACCTGCCCTTCAAAAATATATTAGCTCTGGGGCTTCCCTGGTGGCGCAGTGCTTGAGAGTCCGCCTGCCGATGCAGG